GTATATTTAAAAATGGATGGAACAACATCGATTGCATCAAGACAAGGACTTGTTACTCAATATAATACTGATTCATCAATATTTGTCTTTCTTTTAACAACTCGAGTTGGTGGTTTGGGAATAAATTTAACTGGTGCAAATCGTGTTTTAATCTTTGATCCCGATTGGAATCCATCAACTGATATGCAAGCACGTGAACGAGCTTGGCGTATCGGTCAAACAAAAAATGTTACAATCTATCGTTTATTAACATCAGGTACAATCGAAGAAAAAATTTATCATCGACAAATTTTTAAACAATTTTTAACAAATCGTGTTTTACAAGATCCAAAACAACGACGTTTTTTTAAATCGAATGATCTTCATGAATTATTTCGTTATGATGATGATAATGATAGTGGTGGTGAAGATGATGAACGTACGGAAACATCAATATTATTAGCTGGAACAAATTCGGAAATAAATTTAAAAGAAAATTATAAAAAAAGAAAACGAAATAAAAGTGCTAGTAAGATATTGATATTGAAAAAAGTAATATTTTCTTCTCTGTTTTTAATTTATATAGAATTTGAAGGACAACGTGTACCAAATTTAACAAAAGTTGATAGTAAAACTACAACGAATCAACAAGATGTACAAGTTGATATTGAAAAAGAAAAAGATGATTATGTATTAAGTAAATTATTTAAAAAATCTGGTGTACATAGTGCACTTCAACATGATGCAATTATTGATAATTCCATAAATGATTATGTTTTTATTGAAGCTGAAGCTCATCGTTATGCTGAAGAAGCTGTTAAAGCACTTAAAAGATCAGCACAAGAGTGTTATTCAGCTGAAAGTGGTATACCAAATTGGGGAGCGAAAAATATTCAACAGTAAGTTTTTTTTAGGGAAACATTTCGAAATAATTCAATGTTATATTTAGTATACGTCGATTTGGTTCTCGTTCTAATAAAGATGTTGTTGTTCCTGATGAAGTAGAAGAAGAACAACCATCATCATCATCTACTTCTTCAGTTACTCGAAAAGTAAATACTCGTCCATCAAATGCATCGACTAATTTACTTCAAAATATTCGTGAACGAAAACGACAACAAACTGAATTTGTTGTGCATACAAATGCTGAAACAACAGAAAATCATGAAGATGAACATAAGTCAAATGATGATGATGGTTTAATATTAATTCGTGATTTAAAAGATTATTTATCAGCTGGTGGATCAATGCATGGTAAAGCAACAACAGCGGAAATAATTGATCATTTTCAAACTCGTCTTAATGGAAAACCTGGTCTTGTACCAAAATTTAAATCTCTATTAAAAGAAATAGCAGATCTTCAACGTGCACCCTCTGGCATGGGTTTTTGGGTTTTGAAAGAAGAATTTCGAGGACCATAAAGCTTTTATATATTGTTTACAGCTTTTTATTTTTATGATAGTCAAGCACAGATAGTTTACTTTTTTTTTTTTTTGTCTCAGGAATTCACTGTTAAACCGAACAATTATAATATAATATGTATATACTCATTTGTTTATTTTATTCTTCAGATATGTCGGCCGATCGAACAGGTCGTGGTGAAATGGGTAGGTTATACAAATATGATTGTATAATAGATAAATGGATGTTTTTTTGTTCTATTTAAAGTTATTATACTTTTGGTATATGAAAAATAAATAACGGTATAATGACTTACCTTAGTTTCTAATGAAAATTTACTGATTGGTTTGCTTAGCTTATTATAGAATTTTTGGGAATATATCATTTAGTTGTTTTTAGAATAGAAATTGTCTATTACATATCATATAACTTTTTGTTTAATTTTCAGTAATTCTTACTGGCAATTCTTATCCGGAATTGGCTGAAAATATTTCAAGGTAAGTTATAGTTTCTACTTAAGTTTTCATATGATATTAACTTTCATTTAAATATAATCAAGTTTGATTTTCACAATTTTACTAAACTAATTTTGTTTTATAGAAAAAAATCTAATATATATGTGTGTGGATGTGTGATGTATTCGGCTTTCTTCTTCTCGTTATAGAATTGTTTATTCGCATAAAACAGATGCTAGAAGGTATGTATTACTTAGTTTTTTTTTAAATGTCTAGTGATATATTTGTGCTTTATTTGTTGTTGCTAAATTCTCTTCTTTTAGTGGAATTAGACCACTTGGTGAATGCCGTGTTTATAAAAATTCGGATAAAGGTTAAATAAATAAATAAATAATATGTATAATTATAATTATATAATTCTTTATAGAAACTCATGTAGAAATTCATGAGTCAGTTCGTAGTAAAGATGTATTTATCATTCAAACTGGTTCAACCAAGTAAAATAGATGTTAATGAAATTAATGAATCAATTAAATATTATTCTTATTTAGAGATCCAAATGACAATCTCATGGAACTTATGATTATGAGCTATGCATGTAAAACATCATGTGCAAGAAAGATTATTGTATGTTTAGAAAGAAAAAATATATGTATTATTATAACATTTTTTATTTTAGGGTGTTTTGCCTTATTTACCTTGTAAGTTAATCCGAACAAAATTAATCAAAAGTAAAATTAATAAATTTAGATAGTAAACAAAGTAAACAGAAAAAACGTGGATGTATTACTATGAAACTTGTTGCAAAAATGTTAGTTAAAGCAGGCTTAACACATTTAATAACTGTTGATTTACATCAAAAAGAAATTCAAGGTTTTTTTGATATTCCAGTCGATAATTTACGAGCATCATCGTTTCTCGTCGATTATATTCAAGAACAAGTAAGATAATGAAATTCGGAAGATTTTATTTTATTTTTTATGTTAGATTCCAGATTGGCGTAATGCTGTTATAGTAGCACGTAAACCTAATCAAGCTAAACGTGTAACAGGTTTTGCTGAAAGATTAAAATTAAATATTGCTGTTATACATGGTTGTCAAGATCGAGAAAGTGAAAGTGAAGAAGCGGATGGAAGAAATTCACCACCACCAATGTCATCTGGTTTAGATATTCCTATTGTACCAATGTCTGAACGACGAAGTGTATATACGATTCCATCGCTTGCTTTAGGGCAACGTACGTATTTATAGCTGTTAGTTTTCATAAAAGAAAAATATTTTTTTTAATTATAGAAGTTATGATCAAAGGTAGATTACCTATGGATGTTGTTGGTGATGTTAATGGTCGAATTGCTATTATATTTGAAGATATGATTGATGATGTACCTGGTCTTGTACAAGCTGCTGATATACTCTTTGATCGTGGTGCATATAAAATATATGCAATTGCTACACACGCTCTATTTACATGTGATGCTCCAATATTAATTGAACAATCTTGTATATCTGAAGTTGTTATTACAAATACTGTTCCACATGAATTTGCTAAACTTCAATGTTCAAAAATTAAAACAGTTGATATAAGTTTACTTTTATCTGAAGCTATACGTCGTATACATAATCAAGAATCAATGAGTTATTTATTTCGTAATATAGAAGCAAATGATTAAAATGAACTTATAATAGTTTTATCCCTCTCCTCTTATTTATCAAAATAAAAATAAATATATCCCTCATAGATGTAAATTCTTTATTTTTTTTGCTGTTTTTTAGCAAGAATATCACTGTGTTTAGTATGTCGCTTGTCGACGATGGCAGGGGAAAACTCATTAATACGCTTATCAACGAGTTGAACAAAGTGTTCTAGTGAATGTGTTTTTGTCAGGAGTAATCCAAGTTGCTGTTGCTGTCGAAGACATTGTTGTTTTAGTTCATTGAAATCTGATTGATGGACCCATTTGTTGTTGAGATTATTATTTGATTTGCTAGTTACATTTGATCGAGTTGAAAAACGTGGTTCACCTTTATGTTTCTGATTGACAGCAGTCAAAGGGAACAATGTTTGTTCTGTAGAAGCTAAATGACGTTTTTGAATATTTGTTCGTGATTCCAGTTGTTTATCGATCTTTGTTCTTAAATTATATAGAAATATATCCACAGAGCCTAGCTTTGCATTGCAAATATCAGTAATAATAGCTTCTGGAACATCAAACCCAAGACGAGTGAAAACTTTCCTTTTCAATGTAAACCAATTGTCTTTTTTCTGCTTGGATGCACTGCTTGATATATAATTATGTATATCGATTAGATCGGGAAAATAATATCGAATAACTTCGGCGACCAAGGTACCTTAAAAGAAAAATATTGCATCAAGTGAATAGAGATATTTTTACGTTACCATCAGCAAAATCTCGTTCGAATCGTGTTGTTGGTTTTGACAATAAGAGACTATCGATCCATGTATGCAATTCTTCCACCATCAAATTATTCAATGTAAGTTTCCAAGCCATTTTAAACTAGAGTAAACTAACAGCTGCTACGATTGTTCTACAGAACGAAATAAGATGAAGAGAAAATTTTTTTCTCTCGTCATCATTGACTATTTTAAAGAGGAGAAAATAATAAAACAGCACTAATGTAAGCCGATCAATAATAATTAAAAAGGACTTATACTGAACTAAGTTGTTTACATAAGAAAACAAACTGCACGCTATAGTCGATTGCGTGTTATTATATGTTTTATTTTGAATCAGTTTGAGAATGACACATTAGTTTTTGTACAAAAGTAAATAAGCTCGTCAACGGCAATCTGAAAACATTTTCTGTTTCATAACTTCAAAGAAAAGGGTGGGTGTGTGGCTGTGGATATGAGTATTACATCCGTAGCACACCCACACTCTCAAGTAATGATGATACAAACTATGTTGTCTCGTAGGTATCTGTCAACATTGATCTTTTTTAACAATAATTATCTCTAAATTCAAAATTTAATTTCTAAGAAAATTAAGTCCAAAATCAGTTAAATTCAATGGATACTTTTAATATCAATATGAACTAATTTGCCAATAGGTAAAAGAAAATATTACATCAAGCATGATATATTTTCCAATCACATGTAACAAGTAGTTACGTCGTACATTCTAGTCATAATATAAATGTTTATGTTTATTTCGATGAAGAATTTTCTTCAGTTGCGAGTTGTAAAGCATAGTGAGCAAGTAAACGAGTTGTATCAACAACGGGTTTTCCAAGATTATCTTCATTATATACAATAGGTAATTCTGTACATCCAAGAATAATCGCATCACAATCATATTTTTGTATATCCTTTTGAATATCTTCTACTGTTGTTGAATTTATTTGTGATGGAATTATTTCATTTTTTATTAAATCTTCGATTTTGTCACAAATATTATCTGTAGGAATAATTGAAGTTATATTCTTCGAACGAAGAATATCATTATATAATCCTCCTTGCATTGTAAGTTTTATTCCAAGAACTAAGACTTTAGAGAAACCTTTTCTGTGACATTCATCAGCGACAATTTCAATTAAATTAATAACTTTCAATGGTGAATTCTTTTTAATAATATCTATGGCAAAATGAGGAGTATTCGATGGAATAATTATAAAATCAGCGCCGACTTTTTCAAGTAATTTAATTGATTCGCATATTTTCTTAGCCAAACCAATTCAGTCTTTTCCCTGAATGTAATTGTAATATTCATCATAAGAAAATGCATGCATTGTAAATTCTGGATGTTTTTTTGATGAGTTAAGTTTTGCTGCTTGTGCAACGATTTCATTTGCACATAAACATGCTCCAACTGTCGTGATATCAACAATGCCTATATGTTTCATCCTTTGTAACCGCGAAAGAATTGCTAATTGACAAATACACGTCGTTGATTTCTAAAAATTACAAATACGAAAAGACATACATAATTAGTCATCGATATATTTAAAGAATCATAGAAGTATTTGAAATATTTTTGTTTTTCAAATAACAAAAAGTTTAAGGTGAAATTGAATATTACATGGATTCTTCAAGAATAAGATACGCAGGAAGAGTTAACATATGAAAACAATATTCATCCATAATTGAATTCAATAAGATATAATGTCCGGCTTTGATACTTTTTTAAGAGTATTATTTAATGAATAGGGAACGGAAAAAAACAATCAATAATATCAACAACAACAAGAAAAACGATTTGTTTTGTTTTAGTTCTTTCTTTTTCTTTGTATAGATGGTGTTAGTATATATTTCTTCTCCTACGCATATTCCATGATATATATAGACGTGTGTGGAGTAGTATATTTTACAATAAAATATCATTAGGCACTCACACTACACGACGTGACACTTATGATGTCATTAGCGTCAAATGCTTTAACTTTTTCGGCCCAAAATGAACTTCCTGATTCGCGTGTTAATTCTCATGACGTTTCTCAGCTTGATGACCTACATCAACATGATGCTCGTGACAATGCTCCCGTTAATAATAATGACGATATGAATACTCGCGGAGTTCGTGATGCCGATATTTATCATAATGGCGTTAGTTATTATAATCTTAATAATTCTGATACTTGTTTTGCTTATTTTCTTGCCTTTGTTCTTACTGTCCTTTTTATTGTGAGTGTGTTTCGTCCTAATAATTATTCATTTACTATACAATCATTTATCATATCATTAAAAGAAATTCTTTACTTCAAAGTAACCAATATTGTCGGACGGAATGTTGATGTTTTCGATATGTGAAAAATCCGAAAGCAGAGTTTGCTGTAGATTTAAAATATAAGACTTAAAAGTTGCCTCAGTAATTCTGAAATGATTTTAAATTCATTTTTATCGAATCTGTTTAATGTAGTCATGTTATTTTGACAGTGGATAAATGTCGATGTGGCATAGGTGTGGATGTGGGTGCTGTACTCCTCTTATATTCACACCCACATCCTTTTACGATTTTATTTTCGGTAAAATTTTAACGCATTATTACACGTTTTTTTCGATTCTTATATGATTGGAGAGACTTATTGTTGTAGTAACCGACAAACAAGTAGTCTTGCATAATTCAAGCTATTTAGCTTATTCAGATTTGAAGGCAGCCTCTTCTATTTGGAGAAAATAGATCTTCCAAGACATCTAAGAAAATCCTTGATTAAAATGAAAACTATTCGTGACTTTCTCTTCATAATACTTAAACTAGGGCTGGCATCATATGAAATATTCGTTTCGAATAATGGAAGTATGTCTTATGTGTACGACGTCATGAAATCTTTTTCTCTTTCTTTCTGTTCTTTGATTACATACGTAAGGTAAGATGCAACAAAATTTTACGTTCTTTCTTGACGACAAACAACAGATTGCATCAAGAGACAAATGCCGTGATGTGAGTAAATATATCACACCTGCACGTTTCAGTTTGGCTTCGACTTTAGTCATTTAATACACGGGAGTAGAAATAAATTGAAAGAAAGAATTTTTAGTTTACATCAACTGCAGAAGATCTTAACACACTAAAGAACTAATTTAAAAATTGAAGGACTAATCTTATTTGATACATGCCCATTTATCATATTAAGATAACTGTTTACTATTGTTTTCTTCAAGTTTTCTCTTTCGAACGGGCCTTTTGAAATTCTAAAAGGTAATTACATAGAACACGAAACAATGATCTCAAATTCCTTAGGTAATAGAGGGTAACGCCAATCTCAATGGAAATATAACTCCCTCAGTCTCCATATCAAAAAAAATTTCATTACTGACACATCGAAGTTAGTTGGATTAACTACTAATTGAACCAATTAACTGCGATATGTACATCTGTATTTGATAGAACTAATAACATACGTCAAATCCACCAACAGCCATTAGATTATTGTCAACAACAGCTAAGCCAATCTATTTAAAAAAAATAACGAAGATAATTTAATTCATTTCATTTGAAAACATATTCCACATTTCCTTGAATTCATTATAAACAGCACAATCAAGAGAATTAATCTGTATTAAGCAGAGATTGTCCATTTGATCCTTCAACAGCATGCAAATATCTATCAAGCACCGCAACAGGTACATCCAATCGTTTAGTATCCCAGAGTGTGATTGTCATATTTACCTTACACACCCACACCCTCAAGATTTATATCAACAGACTTTCTGTCTCTTTTTATAAAAATTTTATTGTAACAACATGCAATTACATCACACATAGACATACACTATCACAATACTGAAAAAGAAAATTCATAATAAAAAGCTATTATTTCAGATGATTCAAGAAGAAAAGATTAATAATTTTTGCTATATAATGAAATTGAAAAAGACAACAGAAAAAAGAATGCATGTTGCAATGACTCAAGATGAATATATCAACACAATGCTCTCTCTTACATCTTGTAGCGCTTTTAATGCCTATGCGATTGCACCTGTGGTATTGTAATTTGCATAGTTGTAACAGGTCGTCCAGTGAAAGGAGATGCCAGTTTCATCATATATTGCTTGATATGCTGTCGAAAAGCACTTGACACTAACAAATATGTGTAAAAAGGAGCGGCATTATTGAAGTAAAGGAGAAATG